TCGTATCCGCTTGCTTTTAAAAAAGAGAATAAGTTCATCCGAACAGGCCTGCTAATCTATATACTCTACATACAGAGAACATCGAATTAAATAACTTCTCAGATACTTGTGTGTTCAATACATCGGTTAATAAGCGTTTACATTCCTGTTTGCTTAGTTCACCCGATGCATCTTTATCCGCTGTAAGAAATTGATTTATTACGTAACTAGAAACGAAAAAATTAATGTTTAACTTTTGAATGAAATTTCTTTTTGAAACTTTTTAGCGATCTTCATTTTCTCGCTGGCTCCTACAAGTTAGAGAGGTTATATTTAACTTTACAACTTCCACTTTTTGAAAGTGTGAATGATTGTGTCAGCTTCTTTTTATCAAAAGTATATATCTAGTAATCTCACATATCGCTGTTGATAAAATTTCTTTGACCACTGTTCGAGTAGCGTTCGATTAAATGTTTTAAACCTTTAACCCATAAATCCCGCGTTTCTTGATCTGGTGCTGTAAGATGTAGCTCCTTTTTATGATTATTATACATTATCGTAAATGCACAACTTTCCTAAAATAAATGAAACTGTTATTCTCATATATCGAAGAAATTATTCCATGCTAAACTTACATCCTCCTGTTTTATATGCTTTCCTTTCAGTAAACTTTGGAATGTATTACTTACAAAACCTTCACGAATTTCATCAATTTCTTTGATTAAGTCTATATCAAAGCATCAAAGATAAAAGTATGGGAGTTCAAAGACTAGAAGCATCTGTGCTTCTTACAGTTTCTTTTTTTCCCAAATAACAATTTGCGCGTATTCGCAGATGATAGCATATTTTCGTTGTTGTATAAATTAAACTGTCGTGAAGATTTTTTTCCATTCGGTTTGTGTTGCCACAATACCATGCCATTTTTCATACCGCCGAGTATATCGGATATAATTCGGTCAGTCTCATCGCTTTCTGATATGATCGTCTCCGAAGCCATGTTGACTCTATAGAAAAGTGTAGCAGCACAGACTTATATGTTAGTTAATTTGACCGCCAGATCTTAGTCGTTCTTGTTTCCACTTGATAACAAATATCCAACAGGATGTGTATTTTCTAGTTAATGTTAAACTTTTTCCTTTTCTAATCCGTAGAATAATAATAAGTAATTTACCTATAATAAACAGGCGCACGGATGCTTTCTAAATATTTTTTTCATTTCTTCGAAATACAAAGAAAGAAGTTATGATTTCATCTCGACAATATCAACTTTTTTTTAGTATTACACGGAAAAAAAGCCTATAGAAAAGCAACTAACTCGTGCAACGCAAAATATGATCACATGAGCGAAATTCATGCAAATTTTTGTGCATACAGCATTTTACATTATTTCGTAGGAGCGAATTGTTTTGATTACAATCCATGCGGAACGTTTCGCTTTATTTTCTTTCGATTTTTTTCCTCTTTAGTCTGTAGCATCATTATAAATGATTTACCTGTACTAAACAAAAGGCACGCAACACTCTTTATATTTTACCATCCAGTTGCCATCCAATCAATGAATTTATAATAGAAGAAAACCGGAAAACTGCATCAAAAAGCCAACCATTAAAAATTTGGTGCTCTCAGCTTAGATAGAAAGTTGGTGCCAGATGTAGAATTTCACGGTGAATCCGACAGCGGGTTCCTTTTAGTTTCATTCTGACGTCTTCTTTGACGTCGACATAGTCTACGTGGTTTTTGTCTAAATTTTATTTTTCTCATTGGCGCCTTTTTTTTCAACTAATGAAAAAACATAAAATTTAGGCTAATCATGTAGATTATGTCGACGTCAAAGGAGACGTCAGAGTGAAATCTAAAGGAATCTGTTGTCAGATTCACTGAGAAATTTTACACCTGGCGAATTTTATCCAAGTTGGTTCAGCGCGAAACGAGCACCACATTTTCTAATAGTAAGACAAAATGATTTGTATTGCGTTGTTCTAATATAAAGCATACTTCTTTTCTACTCTCTTTCAGAGTAAAAATAGGCGTTTTGCTGTACTTTTTAATTTTCGGTAATTTAATAGTTTTATGATAACTGTAATTTTTTATATGGCTTATCTGTGCTTTTTCTGTAAGACGATGAATAATAATTTCTCTTAAGGTCTTATGCTTCTTCTCAAAGACAATCTGTTTTAGCCCATAAAGTATCGTAATTTTTCTGGTTGCATGTAGCACGTTGTGTTCTGGTTTTTCGTCGTTTTTTCCCTTGACTGGAAGTCGAGAATCATATGAACGCAATGTCCGTCCTAAAAATTTAGCTGCCGTTACGAAATTGTCAAAAAATATTCTTGACTCCAGTCTCAGTTCCGGAAAAGATCTTTTATCGTTCCAGTCTCGGTCTTGTCCATATCTACACGATAGTCAAGGATAGGACAATGGAAAAAGTGTTCGTGCGATGGAGGATAAAAATTTGTAACGCCATTATCTTCTGAAAGAAGAAGGGTATGAAGACTTTCATCTTACCATTCGATAGCTCTAAGTCTCAGCTTTATTCCTTTTTAACAGTACATTTTTATCTAAAATTCTTTTATCAAAAGATAGAAGGTTTTTAAGTTTGATCTGCTTTTATCGCTCAATTAACGTTCGTACGATCACTATTCCACTTCTATTTGGATATTTATCGAACAGATAGAATTTTTGTTTATATACCATTTGAACGTCTGGACGACACAATGAAAAAAAGAAATTATCAAAAATAATTATAGCTGTCCGATAAAAATTTTGTTTTTAATTAATCAGTCAAATTTTACATAAAAAATTGTTTGATTTATCTAAAAGTCATCAAAAACTAACTTTAAATATATCATTGGATAGCGCTTACACAACTGCATGTATCTGTTATGGTTTAATTAAAATTGATTTGGGGTCTCATGTGGTTTAAATCGATTTACTATTTCAGTCACTAAGGACATCCTAAGTGCGACTCACGAATCTGGTTATTTTCAGTATTTAACTCAACTGAAAAGTTTTTCAAAGATCACAGGTTTGCAGAGGAACGTTTTTCCTACAAGATGAGCTATTTCACATTTAAAAATAATTAACGGTTGTCTCACAGCTACAGCTCGATGTGAGGTCAAGCTTTTTATAAAACCAACAATTTAACAGCACGCAAGATTCAAACCCAGCGAGGGGCACTTCTCTATCGATGCCTCATCTGATCAATATGGTTCCGGCGGGTTTCATGTTTGTTATATTACGTGGATGTGCCCTTTCTACGGACGAAACTTTGTACAAACTACGGTTCAAGAGATACCGAAATATTGACTAGTCTATTTAGTCATAGGCGCACAAACGGTAATTAAACAATCGTCGATATATGATGATTGCTATACTATGTGATTCATCATGAAGTAAAAACTGTTTTCTATACTGTGTGTGTAGAGTATTCTATGTACACATGTAATGAATTTTTTTTCTATGTCTAATGTAAATCATAAACTGCTATTCGGTTATGATAATGGCGCATTTAGGAGATGTTTTGATTAATGCATATCTACTTATATTTATTTCCTCAAGCTTTTAACCGTTGAAAATCTCAGCCTGAAATAATGTTCCTTTCTTGAGATACTGAATTTTTGACAAAACAGTGATTACCGACGGATGTGTGATAAAAGGGCAGTTTTGTTAAAAATTCAGTATCTCAAGAAAGAAACATTATTTCAGGCTAAAATTTTCAAGGTAGTATAAGTGTCATCAGAGTTATCTATTATGATAATTTCGGATCCAAATTCGTACGTTTACTTATTCAGGCATGTGGGCTCATAATGTCTGAAATCCAGTAAAATAGGCATAACTCTTGAAGGAATAACTCTCAACTCAAATCCTTTTAGGGTTTTTATCAGGGCACTATATGCCATCTTCTGACGAAATTTCATTGAAATCTGAGG